CCGCTCCCCATGCTAGGTATCATGAGCCCATCCGTGGCCTTGGTTTCCGAAGACTCCTCAAGAAACATGGGTTACAAGTCTATCTTATAGACGAGTATAAGACCAGTAGGTGCTGTCCAACATGCCACAACGAGATCCTCCACACGTTCCGTCGTGTTCCAAATCCATGACCGTATCAACGTGAGCGATATCCTACTGTTGTCTGCCATGGCCTTTTAAGGTAATAATACACGAACCACTTGTATGACTTTATACTGATTAAGCATTGCTTGTAGATGCACCAATCTATACTGTAGACCCGCCATGGCAGCTCCAGATAGGTATCGCTTTTGGAACAGGGATGTTGCTGCTTGTCTCAACTACATGCACATCCTTCGTGGGCTTCGACGTAATGGTATGGTTCCTCATAGGTTTCGTCGGGTTGCTGTTGCTCCTACAAGACGTCGAAGAAGAGTGGACGATCAGGAGCAACCAAGAACTAGAATACGTTTAGACGATGATTCTCCGTCCTAGTTATCGCTAGGACACATCTAGATGCCTTCGGGGTAAGTTGTATGTAATAATTTTCTTACATAATTAACTGTATAATTTTTTATATTCTCTCCTTGGTACTTATTACTCTCATTTGTATGTCGTCTCCTTCGCACGTATTTTATTTTTAACCTTTGCGTAAATACTTTTTTTAATATGCGCCAATTATTTTTTTCATACACGTCATAATTTTATCCTCTTTCTGAAATTTATTTTTAATAAAACAGTATAATATAGTAAAAGAAATGCTTGGTGATGAATATGACAAGAATGGTATACTATAGAAAGAATACGACTAAATAATATCACGCCAAGTGTAATTATGATTACTGGTTGTCTAATGAAAGCAACAAAGATCTGTGCGCGAAAATGGTATCACGAATATATATATAAATATATATATATATATTTTCTGGTGATTTTCTTTAAACTCATTGTCTACAGTAAAAGAATAAGAAAAGGCCTTAAAAAGGATTGAGTATTGTAGGTCACTATTCATTGGCACAAAAATAACTTTAGAGACAACACAATAAGTATTTTGCTTATTTAAAAAAGACAAATCAATGCAAAATCAGCAAAATGTGAAGTAAATTACAGCCATAGTTCATATTGTCACTCTAAGATGTTATTTTGATCAATATTTACACCTAAAACAACAAAGGAATACATTATATAATACTAAATATCTCAATGTTTTTCATTACCTTTTTCTTCACGAGGAGATTTGGTCTTTTGCTTTTCATTGGTTGAAGGACGGACTTTTTTCTTACAATGAAGTGACAAAAACATCAGCAATGGAACATTGTGACGCTGAATGTGATTATTTAATCACTGTTGGGTTTTTGGGTTAACTCGTTCTTTCTTTCTTGTTTCTTATAAAGCTTATTTTTAATTATGTTGGGTAATAACAAGAGAATAGGTTAACTTGAGTAGTTATTAAACAACTGTAGTTACTCCTTTGATAATGACAATCGTCATTTTACCACTTTTATTACTTTTATTACGAAAGTTCAGTGGATTTTATTATCGTTCAATCATGACGGTAGTATCACTTACCATCATGGCAACTTATGGTATGATTGCTGCTCTTATTTTCCCTGTATTTGGATACACACAGTATATCAATTTCACTGTCGCAAGAGGACATTATTATATCACTAAATTCTTTTGTGGTGTCGAGGTCGTCCCTGAAGGATTGGAGCATTTAGAGGAAAAGAGTCCTGTGATCTTTGTATGTAATCATCAATCAAGCATGGATATTATGATGTTTGGTGCATTCTATCCAAAGAATACATCCATCGTTGCTAAAAAGGAGATAAAATATTATCCTTTCTTGGGGTGGTATAGTATGTATTCAGTCCATTTACAACAGTGTGCACACACAGAAAAAAGACTAATTAAATTCTAGTGCGTCTGTCGAATGCTATCTTTTTAGATCGTAAGAATAGAGAGAATGCTATTAAAGAAGCTCGTAAGGCATCCGAGGATATTCGTCGAAAAGGAGTAAGTAACATGACAGCTGGGTGATTTCTTATGACCCCGTTTTCTTTAGGTTAATGTTTGGGTATTCCCTGAAGGCACTCGTGGCCATGAATCTGAAGTCACTTTATTACCGTTCAAGAAGGGTCCATTCTATATGGCAGTTCAAGCCAATGTACCTATTGTTCCTGTAGTCATTGCCAACTATTCTCACTTGTATAATGCCAAAGAAAAGAGATTTCTATCTGGTGTCGTTCGCGCCAAAAGTAAAATTAATTTTCATATGATGACCCAAAAAAACATGTGCTAAACGGCCCCATTTAATAGTTTTGCCACCTATCTCGACTGACGGTATAAAACAAGAATCCGCTGATATCGAAAAACTCGCTACTGAGTGTCGCAGACAAATGCTTGAAGTACTCAAGGAAATCACACCTTCTGAAACTATGAAGAAGAAGCAATAATAGTATAGACTCAATAAAACAAACAATATTTTATTCTCTCTTTTCTTTTCTTTTTCGTCATGTTGTTTAAAAAGGTATACGTTTAAAGTTGAATCTGTTGACGGGAATTATATTTATGAACCAATGCCTAATATAAACAATACATTAAGACATTCTCTTTTCTATGCACTTGTCTTATTTTACCTGACAACCACAGAAACCTAGGAAACAAGCATAGACAATAGCAGCAGTAAAGCAAGCTTCAGCTGTCGCGTTGGGATTATCTGGGTCTGACGTGAATTCTGTCAAGACCTCTACTTTCGCTTTGAAGGCCGTGCCAAGTAAAACCTACAAGATGAGTTATGAAAACAGCCTATATAAAACTTGCTTCTTACAAGAAAGATAATACCACAGAATGATAACAGACTACAGCAGGTAGCGGCTCCAGGACCAACAAACGTCTTCATTTGAACACTCAGAAAGAAATATGAAACTTGTAAAATGGCTACAGTCTCCCTTTTGTCACTCATTTCGGAATGTTAAATTGCCGCCGCAATTAGTAGTCACAACTCGATCTATTGAAGAATAACACATAACACATTGGAAAAAAAAAAACAACAACCAAAGTACAACCAACTGCTCTTCCTGCTATGCACCTTTACCCGTTGACTCACGTTATCGTACCTGCCATATATGCAGAGAACGAGTAGCAGCATCTCGCCGCAGACGTCGTGCCGAAGACCAACAAGAAGAGGCTGGCGTTGCTACTAGACCTAGAGGCAGACCAAGAAGAACAGTCGAGTCTGCTGATACTGAGAGTAGACCCAGAGGCAGGCCCAGATCTGACCATGCCAACAGTATGCCAGCCGCATACATCTCACAGTTATCCCGTCTTCGTTCTTTGGACCTTGGATGTATGGACAAGGAATGCTCACACTGTCACGCTCTACACTGGATTGATGAAAGGCAAGAGACGTCTTCGATGAGAAATCCTAGCTGGGGGTCATGCTGCAATCAAGGATCAGTCCAGTTGCAACTATTACCTGATCCACCTGAGTACTTGAAGGACTTGCTCGAACGCACGGACACCCAAGGTCGTCACTTTAAAGACAACCTTCGTCAATATAACGCTGCCTTTGCTTTTACTTCGTTGGGCTGCGATATTGTTTCGCCTGAGGATCGT